TCAGAACGACAGCCAGACTTAAATACTGGAATAATAATAGAAGTTTTCCAATAGTCAGGGAAGAAGCCATTTACGAGAAATACTGAAAAGATTTTGCTAAGCAGAGGAGGAAAATCTCTTAGCTGTTTTATCAAAGAGTTTGTGATATTGTCCGTACCTACTGAGTGAGAGTTAGGAAGATGGCTTATCAGTTTTTCAATACATTCAGGAGAAAAATTAATGAAGCTAAGAGAAGCATCAGACAACGAAGGAATTAAAGGGATCGGATCAGTTTCAATGGTGAAATGCTTGGCAAAGAACGAATTTAAAATTTATGCTTTGCCTGACTCCTCTGTAATGAAGGCATCACTAACACACCGGACACTGGGCACAAATTTGCGAAGGAGAACGCTTGCACTATTGGCGCCTGCCCAATAAGGAAATTTTGCGAATTCCTGGAAGCCATGCACTTAGATAAGGCATGCATTAGCCGGCATATTGATCTGGATGCCACGTACAAAATCGTTAGAGACAAACTCAAAGTGACTCAACCAAAACCGAACAGATAGCAAATTGCAATTAGCACGCATTGGCTCAGACTTCAGCAAGTCATGGATTCCTTTGTCCGACTCAGTTAAGAAGTTAATTGTTTTTGTACTCCCATGCTCTGAAGACGAGGTGGGGACCCAGTCTCAAAAATCTACACAATTCCAGCCGTTGCAGTAGGTTAAGCAGATGAATATGAAACAAATATGATTAGACTCGCGTCGCCCGGTGGCGTCTCGTAGCTCAGATGGTTAAAGAATTGGCCGTACTAAAGCCTTCCCTTGATGTCATGGGAGCGATTCCCACCGAGGCACCGAGTTTTCCACAGCTGGGTCAAAGTGAATTACAAAATACAGTTCACTGTTTCGGGACGAATCCCATCTTCCAAATTAAAGTTTTTTGGGATGTCCGTTTATCAATTCATATATATTTTCTTAATAGAAACGAAGATGCGCGTCCCCAGACATAAATGAGAAGAAAGGGCGATCTCGGGAATCACAGTATTACTGTCCTGACGTTTCAAACGCAAACAAGCTTCCATCGTCGGATGTGAATGTGGTATCGCGCCTAAGAGTATTTATGGGTGGGTGACAGTCATTTCAAGACGGTTTTTTACATAGGAAGTCAGGGCGGCAGGGAGGAAGGGGCGGGGAGTGAGTCCTAGAGCGTCTTTTCGCCGGATGAGGGGGTGATGGATCAGCTTTAGTGGTCACCAGCCGCACGCATACAGGGACTGTGGCGGACGGGGGGAGGGAGGGAGGGTGACGGAATGTACTCCATCTACATCGGGGGCCGGCGTTGATACGTTGGTGGCCGTCGTTCGTACCTTCATTGACCGTAACTGTCGTCCAAGGCTGGCAATTTTGTTTACGCCGCAACGACTGTCCGTTTTCTCGTCTGCCGGACTAGTAGATGGACCGGCTGTGGTGACGACTGCGCCTTCGTCGGAAGCAGGTTGAGGGGTGGCTGTGTGCATCTGCCATGGACTCGCTCATGCCAGGATTCATGTTTTGCCTGGGTGAACGTCTGCTCAGTTGTTTACTGAGCTGCGCCCGAAGTGCTTGGTAGGTAGCGGGAAGAGCCACACAACGGTTGATGTAGGTTGTCCCCGTGTACCAAGTCTCGATTGCTTCCCTGGCTATGCGGTCGTTTGCTCGGTCCAGAATTTCGGCATGCTGGAAGGCGAACGTGCGTCCGGAATCGACGCAGTGTTCGGCCACCAGAGACAAAGGGTCTATTCGCCTTACTGCCCTCATGTGTTCTCCAACACGGGTCTGTAGCCGTTGGCCGGTCTCCTCAATGTAGTTGACTTCGCAGGAATTACACTGGATCCGGCATATGACGTTCGTGGTTTCACCTCGTGGCAGAGGGGCCTTAGGTATCATGACCAAATGTCGAATTGTTGACTCCGGTCGCTGGGCGATGCCGATCCCCAGTGGTCTTAAGAGACAGGAGACCGCCGCCATATTTTTTGCCGTTCTGTCACCAAACGTCGGCTCGGTTTGGCCTGTCTGCGGCGTTCAATGAAATTTCGAGGATACCCGTTGGCCATGAAGAGGCGCTGGAGGTAGCGTAGTTCTGACCTTCTGTCGTCCGGCTCGCTGCAGTGTGTTTCCGCCCTTCTTTATAGTATTCGCACACAACAGCGTTTGTGACCTAACGGGTGCTTACTGTGGTAGCTCAGCATTTGGCGTGTATTAGTGGCCTTCCTATATACCGTCGTTTTTAGGTGCCCATTGGTTTTTCGATGGACGAGAACGTCCAGGAACGGCAGTTGGTTGTTGGCTTCCGCCTCCATTGTGAACTGGATGTCAGGGAAAACAGAGTTCAGGACATCATGGAATTCTTGGACCCTTTGCCGCTTAATGATAACGAAGTTATCATCGAAATATCGAGTCCAAAATTTCGGCTCGTCGTCTCGTCGTACTGACTCTCCAGCAGCTCGCTAACCACTTCGACTGCCAGGTCTTGCGGAATCGAAGTGAAAAGAGAAGTGACGTCGAATGACACCATGACTTCGTCTTCGGCAAGTCTCATCCCTTTGATCCGCTCCAGGAGGGATGAAAATGCGCGTTCTCAAACATAACCGAGAAGGAAGGGCGATCGCAGGAAACAGGGTTTTGGAAGATGAAGATGCGATCGCTGGAACAAGGGTTTTATTGGTCTGACGTTTTGAAAGCAGACAAGCTTCCATCATCGGAGGTGGGTCGCGTACGGCACGTCAGAGTATTTAAGGGGTTTCCTTCATGCTGGCGTGTCACTGACTTCCAGCGCGCTGCATCACGGGGTTGGTGGTTGTTGTCGTGGCGACATCGCCTCCTCTTCATCCTGTATTGGGTGTGGAGAGGGGATCGCGGGCGGCGTCGGGGTGACCGCGGCCATTGTTCTTATCTGCATTGTCCGTTGTCCGTCCGACACGTATCTCGCCTTCCTGCCCCATTCACATCTGTCCGTAACCGTGTGGACGGCGGTTGCCACACCCGTGTTGAAGTCGGTACGTCGATGGGCTCACCTTTATCCGGTTTCATCGCTGAAGCTCTTCCTCAAAGGTTGGAGGCGTAGGTGTTCTGAACACACAACCCAAAATTTGGGGCGCAATATGTGTACGACACTTTCGTCGTTTTCAAGCGGGAAATGGTCTCGAAATTTCACGAGGCTACTGAACTCTATATTTTCCGATATTCAATTCACAGTGGAGACAGAGAACAGCAAGCAGGTCGCGCTCTATACGTCCTGGTTCATCGCAAAGTTAGTGGGAGCCTGAAAATGACGGTCTGCAGGAAGGTCACTATCACTCGGCAAGTCCTGTCCTACCACAGAAATCGCCCGCTGTGTCACAAACGAAGCTGTTTTCGAATTTAATTGCACATCTCATCGAGACAGGATGAGAGTAGAAGTCACAAGTAGGCGAAAGCTCTCGGCTTATGTACGTTGGCATGGCTTTATAAAATTTAAGTCAGACGACATTACTGGCCATTCGTCACCCGTTGTTACTCATAGGCAGATTAGTCTGTCTGCACTTTAAAATTATAATAATTTTATGCCAAAGTTCAGCATCTTTTATATTCCCTCTCAAGAATGCAGACGTATTGACTAACTTGTTCACTTGATCGTCAGTGAATCCTGTGTTAGAAAAAAGCGTGCTTACAATTTCTTGTTGAAAAATGTTCCTCGATCTGCTCGGCCAGTTGATATTGCGACTAATTTCCTGTATTCGTGCGGTTTCAACTACAGAATAGCCGACGCTAAATGCCTATCCCCTCGTAGCAAAGTCCACGAGTCTTAATTAAGTTGTTTTTACCAATCGAGGTCGACGCAATCCTTGCCCATCGAGATCGTGTCTCTGCGTACCTGGAAAATGCAAAATTTTTCCTTTGTCATGATCTTACTCTCATGGGGCCTAGAATTAGTCCCTCTTCTGCGCGTAAACTCACAACTTCTCAATCAAATGCTCACTAACTCGGTCATAATGCAGGTGGCCGTGAGGATTCAGCTGGCCCTACTCCTGCGACATCTAACTGCCCCTTACCCTTTACTCCAACATCTCCATCTCATTTGGGCCACTTGACGCATTCGCCTGCACCTATGTTGGCAACAGCCCCAGTTATCCTTCCTGATCCTCCAGATGGCCCCACCTAGGACGCACGAAGATTCGTATACATCAGCTTGACCGATAACTTCCCCATTTAAACAGGGTTCTGCTAGCTCTAGAGTTAAGCCTTAATCTAATAACTTCTCTTCATAATGGGCGGCAGTCAGTGGTAGTTACTTACTTTGATCTTAGCAACGCCTTCGACAAAGTGCCCCATAAACGTCTTTTCAGTACTTTTAATAATAATAATTTTTTATTAAAGATCCCGCGGGGTCCCATCAAAGCAAATAAAAATAAATTTACATACGAATTTTGGACGAGGTAGGCAGAATCTGTACAAAATGCAATTAATTGCTTCTGAATTTGTAGTCCGTTAAGAAAAATGATGAGCGAGCAGTGAAAAAAAACTCCACTTAAAAAGTTGACAATGATTGGCTTAATTTTACAAGAGAAAAAACCCTCGCTAATAATAACAGAAGAATGCGGACAGGACTGGCCTGCATGTGGCAGCGTATAACGGATTACAATCGGACATCGCCAGGGCAGAAGTAAATGTCAGTCTTGAAGAGTATGTATGCGGGTCAGACAGGACTGGCCTGCATGTGGTATTGTATATGGCATTCAAAACGGACATCGACAGGGCAGAATTGGTACGCCGGATGAGACTATTCGTGTCAAAGAGGCCAGGCGAGAGGAATCTAGACGCGATCGGCCACAGTCCGCTTCGAGCCCAGCCGAGGAGTTGGGAAGGGAGGTGCGACCAAACTACTAATAGACGGCAAATACTTAGGGTTCCGCCGTGAGCGTCGACAGAACCCATGAGGTCGGAATGCGGGAGATGACATCAAGGACCGCGAAAATCGTCGCTATGGAGAAGTGATAGCAGTGGATTTAGAAACCAATTTAAAAGAGGGGTTTCTAATGATATAATTGAGGGTAATCGCTTGATCTACCACTAAATCCCAGGAGGACCCTTCTCGAAATCAAGAAACTGAATGTTCGGAAATGAGACCATTAAGAATGCCTTTATACTCTCCGGTGTAAGGTGTTTGCGTAACTTCGACTTGAATACCAGTAACTTAAGCGATGACCTAATTTCTGGCGGAAGATTATTCCAAAGGAAAACATATTTGGAAGCAAGAAAGAGGGAGCGCTTAGATGTAGTGCAAAGAGGCGGCGGTGGAATCATCATGGAGGAGTTACGCGTGGCATAAGACCGATCTCTCGGAATGAGAGTGTCAATGGGCGGAAGTTTGGAGCTAGAGATGATGCGAAAAGGAGGCGAAGGCAAATTTCCAGTCTTCTAACCCACAAAAACTTAATGTTCGCCAGCTGACATCTCTGAGTATAAGAAGTACCCGATGCGACTTGGGAGAACAGTTTCCGGGTGAAAACCCTCTGAACATTTTCGATCTTATAACGGTCACAGGCGTTCATTAAACCAAAGAAAGGACAACAGTATTCGAGGGCTGGAAGGACAAACATTTGGTAGTCTTCGCTTCATTTCCGAAAGGAAAAAAATATGCGATATAAATCCACATATCTGCGCGGCTTTGGCAGAGATTCTATCTGCATGAGGTGATTAAGCAAGCTTATTTACATAACGTAGACCTAGGTCCTTTATGGTGAAGCATTCTGAGAGTGGGTTATTCTGAAAAATTATGGGACCAGGAAGTTTGGCAGGACCAAAAGACATGAAATTACGCTTGGGTTATGAAGAGTCCATCTGCAATGTTGAACTCCATCTGCTTAAACGTAGTAAATCGGCATTAATTTTTTTCAACACAAACATTTACGCTGTCCTTAGAATATGAGTAAACACACTTGAGGTCATCTGCATAAATAAGAGTTTGCAACTTTCCGAGATCAGTCGAAATACCATTGGTGTAAAGAAGGAAGAGTAGCGGACCCAGAACCGTGCCTTGAAGTACGCCACTCGTGATCGAGTGAGGTGTCGAGTAGCCATTACCGACAATGACTTTCTGATATCGGTTGGATAGACAGGACCCGATGAAGTCGAGTAGAGACGGCTGAATACCGAGAGCTTTCGCTTTTACTAAAAGACGTCTATGGGGCACCTTGTCGAAGGCTTTGCTAAGATCAAAGTAGGTAACTACCACTGACTGCCGCCCATTATGAAGAGGAGTGATTAGATTAAGAAATGCCAAGTGACAAGTTTTGTAGGATCGTTCAGGTAAAAGTCCATGCTGACTAGAGCTCAGAAGCCGATTAGCTAGACAGGAGTCAAGAATTTCATTGAAAATAATCCTTTCAAGAAGCTTTGCTAGAGACGGTGTTTTGTGCACGCCCGATAGTTATTAACATCGGACTGAGATACAGACTTGAAAAAAGGGATGATAATTGACGTCTTCTATGTTTCAGGAAAGAATCCTTCTGAAATGTAAACCGCGAATAAATGACTAAGCAATATGGGAAGGTCAGATGCTTGTTTAATAATCTAATTAGGAATCCCGTCCGTTCCTGAGCAGTGTGAGTTTTTCAAACTACTTATATGTTTATTAATGAGATCTGAGGAGACACTGATTGTACTCAGTGTCCTATCTGAAAGTGAACGGAAGAAAGCGACTGGTTCGGTTTCAGCAGTAAGGTGTTTTGTAAAGAAAACACTAAACAACTCCGCCCTGCCAGTGTCATGTTTGAGTAAGATTTTGATTTTTGATTTTATCCACTTTCTAGGATTTTTGGCAAAACTGACGTGCTCGCGGTCTGTACAGTTCCGGTAGCCCTTTACATATATCAAGATCAGCATTAGATCCAGTATGCTCCCCTGCGGAGCGTCACTGTGTACGCTTGTCCATTACGATTTAGCGTTTCCGATAAGCCGACGCCTTCGTCTTCCCATAAGACAATCAG